GACAAGGATGAGTCCCCACCTCTGCTGGGCACTAGCCCTGGTGTTTCTGTACTGTGGTGCTTCCTCGGGACCTGTGTGTTGGGAAGTTTGGATTTCCTCACTTGCCAGCTTTCACTCGTATTTGCGTAATTTTACTACCTTAAACTCCAATGTTAGCGTTTATTAAAAAACAAAAAACCTAGTTTTCTGGGGTTTAAAAGGCAATTGGAGGGAGGGGAGGGAAGGGGGAAACAATGTAATTATATTTTAATTTAAAAAAAAATTTAAGAGGCAATTTTGCAAAGCTTGTAACTGTAGCCAACAAAGGCCTGGGCGGCCCAGCTTCCACTGCTTTGGGGCTTGTTCATTAAGCACATCTGCCACAGAACTGAAGAAGCACCCTGGATTAGGAAAGTGACATCAAGTCCCCTTGGCTAAGTCCCTCCTCACGGGAGTCCTCTGGTACAGATGTGCCTTTCCTGGTAGACACCTGGCATAGTATTCCACTTACAGGCAGGGGGCTGGGAGGAGTACCCATTGCCCTAACATGCATCTCACAAAGGTCTCAAGTGGTGTGGGTCATTTCAACTGAGAATGGATATCTTTCCCCAGGGCCGTATGAACTGTTCTCATCAAACACCATTATTGGCACAGAAAGTTGGGGAGGGTGCTATGAAACACCCCCCAATGGAAATATTTATAATTCTCTCATCCATGCACAAAGTTGCCTGATGGACCTGCTCCTTTCAGTCTGTATCTGGGGGATTATTATCCACCTGGGGCATCTTACAGATGGCAGAACTGAGGAGACAAGGCTGGCTGCAGCGTGACACGCACATGCAGAGTCACTCTGTCATTTCATTCAGCTTTCAGGAGAGCATACCTGGAGTTGTCCTGGGAGGAAGGGTTATTCTCTGTGATCAGGAAGAAGGACACTTAGCACCTCCCCACCAGAGACTGAGAGTCAAATCCAGAACTCACTGCCAGAGAGCCAGCCAGCTGCACCCAGCACCCCATCCTATTCCCCATACCCTATCGTGTTCTCACATGTGTGCTGATTCTGTTGTATGTATTTGGGGCTCTACCTAGGGGCTCTCACCAGCTGGGCACTGAAGATCCCAACACACTTCCCCTAAACCTACAGTCTTCTAGGAGTCTCACCAGAAACCCCCTTACAGTAAACCCCCTTTAGTGCACGTCCTAAACCCTGTGGAGGATCTGAGTTTTATCCAAGGAACATTCAGAGTCCACAAACAATCTTAGTTATCAAAAAGGGAGGGGGTGGTTTCTTAAGAACCCTCTGAGGTTAACCCAAGAGCCACTGAAACAGTACACACGGCTGATGTTGAGTTGAGGCCCATGCTCTGAGTGTGCCTTATTTTTCCCACAGGTGTTTCTCTAGTTTAATAAAAGTACAACCCTGATTCATGCTGGCTCATCCTGAAATCCCTTTTAGTATCAAATCCAACAGTGTCCTGTTTTACTGGAGTCCAGGTTCCTAAAAGAACTTAGACACTTCAGGCAACAGAGTGCAGCTGTGCCTCTCTGTCCTTGCTACTGCTGACAGGGATAAAATGCCAAAATAGAAAACTTTTAATTAATAAGAGATGCTGGGCTTGAGAGATGGCTCAGTGGCTATTAGCCCTGGTTCTTCTTCCAGAGGACCTGGGTTCAATTCCCAGGACCCATGGGGTGGCTCATAATCATCTACAACTCCAGTCCAGGGGATCTGGTGCCCTCTTCTGGCCTCCGTGGGCATTAGGCAGCACACAGTGCATGTACAAACATGCAGACAACATTCATAGACATAAAATAAAAAGAAACCGACCTTTTTAAAAGTAGCTTAAAAATAAGACATACTCAAAAAGAAAAATGTTAGCGAGGGAAGTCTATAGGGTTGGTTGTGGAAGATCTTGTCAGATCCACTTGTGATGCTGAGGCCAGGAGGCGCCTCAAAGGGCTCAGATCCCAAAGGCGCATGCCGACAGATGTTCATATGTCTATGGAGCTCACTCAGGAAAGGACCGCGTGAGAGGGACAGTGAGAGGGGCATAGGCAACTGCTCGCCCACAGTCAGAGGAAAATACCCTAAACATGTCGGTGTGGATCTTTCTAGAATTTATACCTTAAAAATGAGATCTCATTGAAAATTCAGCTGCCGTGTTTTTTTTTTTTTTTTCTTACTTGGCAACATTCTGTGTACTTTATTTATGGCTAGCTTTAAAAGCCAGGCCACTGGACAGACAGTTTGTAGGGCATCCTTGTACTGGACATGCGAGAGACACCCCCCCACACCTTCTCTGCCTGCTTTACAGTATTACTTTTAAAAGCAACAGTCCTCCTCATCCTGGTGGGATGAGGCACTCCCCTCTTCTGATAGGTGAGAATGCACATCTGTAAGAACTTTTTAGAAGGCAGTCCCAGGAGAGGAGGGTGAGGGCCAAAGAACCGCTCCACAGCTTGTTTTGGGGGGAGGGGTTCAAGGGGCACAAGGGATAAAAATAGTTTAGAATTTTAGCACTGAGCCAAAGTTCCTCATTCTCTTCCATGAGCAAGAAATAATCCTCTGGACTGAGTAGATCATGGCCAAGCTGCCTGGTGAGTACTGAGCACCGAAAACCACTGGGTGGGTATGAAAGGGAAGGGCCGGGAACAGGCAGGGGACAGGCTGGCTGGAGCAGGTGGCCTAGCATTCAGGTGGCAGATCATGTGATTACACACTGAAGGGTTCTCACATGGTTTCTGGGCAGAGCAGATGCTGGCTTAGTACTTCTCTGCCCGCCTGGCAGCATCCTGGATGGTCTCTGCTGCCGCCACAGAAGCTCTGAGCTAAGGCTCTCTGTGTAGGCATCAGGGTGGGAGGAGACTGTCCTGGCCCAGGGAAGAGGGATCCGTACCACTAAATGCCACTGAACAAACACTGGAAAGTAAGTGTCCCCACACCTATCCAACAGGACTGCCTTTTTACATTTCTAGTTACAGTGTTTTGATATCTCCTTATCTCAGCACAGGGCTGTAAGTTACACAAATGACTATCGATATCTTCAGGAACCACAGAGAGCATGCCAGAAGTTTGCATCAGTGCTGGCGGCTGGGAGGAGATAGTCTGGTGATTCGTGTCATGATTTGCTGAACTCCTACTGTGGGGAGTCAGAACTGGGCTAAGCCGATTGGGGCACATGGCACCTTAACTGTTTTTGGATTAAACCTCTGGAAACACTTTCTTTATGCCAAACTGAGATGTGTGTCACTTGGTACCAGATAGTATTTATGTTGGGGTCTCTGTGCCCTTGAGTCAAACAAGACAGAAGCAGGCAGCCAGTATGGGAGGATGGAAGGAGGCAGATGAACTTCCCAGACCCCTGCCCAGGTACCATGGTGAGCCTGCAGGCCTTGTGGAGCCCCCAGGGCCTGCAGGGTACTTCTGGTGGCACTGTGAAAGCCTGCTCCTGGCAGAGAGATCTGGTGCCTACAGCTGCCAGGGAGACTTGAGCTCTGTGGCCTGGGCTGAAGCCTCAACTACCTCTGGAGAGAAAATCCCAGATTGTCATTTACATAAATGGGACTAGGCGTTTCTGACATTTCCCTGTGTCCCGAGGCTGTTACCTTACTAAACCAGCAGCTGAGATGAGCCCAGTCAACACTTCATCAAAGCTGCACTGAAGAACCAGTGGGCCAGAGGCAGAGGGAACATTCCTACCAGACCAGAGCATGTGCCGTGTGGGCCATTTGCTGAGCAAGCATGAACAGTTGGGAAGTCCACAAGGACACAGGGATGGTGGGTGCGGCCCAGTGTCAAAGTCAGAAGATTTGCAAGCTGCCAAAGACAAGAAGTGTGTGAGGGCACCGTCCTTGCATGGTCTGAGGGGAGTGGACCTGGGTTTCACAAGGGCATGGTCCTTGCATGGTCTGAGAGGAGTGGACCTGGGTTTCACAGCCCTGTTACGAACCACTCTGCCACTGAGCATGTGGGAAATAGTCAGCTTCTGTACAGAACAGGCCATCTTCCCACACTTGTTAAGTTCCCTGATGACGCCCCTAAAACAGCCATGGTGCAGAAGCCATGCTCCCCACACACTCACCCTCCCGTCCTGCTCCTGGAGTGCAGCCAGGGCCTAGACTTGGGGCTCCCCCTCCCAGCAGGAGTGACGCCAAGAAATGAAACAACCTGCCTTTGCTTTCACATCCAAACCTATTAGGGAGTGATCATAACAAGAGAAACGCACACTGACAAGAATCATGCCACTGTTGGAGTTCATCTATTTAGTAACCTGAAGTTACAGTTTTTAGAAAGAAAAGAGAGGGAGAGGGAGAGAGAGAGGGAGATTACCTTTTAAATAACCGATTCATTATGGGACACGAATGAATGTCATGTTCCCATGTTCGAAATGTCACTCAGCATTAAGGATGTGTGCTGGTAAGTGGCAACCATTTACCACATTCCCTTGACAGACAGACACCTCTGTCTGGGGCCCCAGCGACAGGAGGCGTTTGTGGGTTTCCTGTGTTCTTAGCGCGTCACCTGTATGGCCTCACACCCCATGCATCTCGGTTCTGCAGCGAGGCCGTCCCACTTCCCCTCCCTGGTGAAGTCCCTGCCACAGTAACACTATCCATTTCGAGGCTGAGCACAGAAACCACAGGCACAGACTGGGTGAGTGAGGGGGAAGAGGCTGTGTCCCTGCTGGACACATGCAGGCTCTGAGAAGTGTGAGGTGAGGAGAGGCAGGAACAGGGCAGCCCGGCACTCTCTGTATGTGGTGAGTATCCCCCGACCTTCCCTCAGCCTCAAACACCCACACATGGTCCATCGTCAGCCGCCAGACATGCACTGGGCCTTTCTCTAAGTTCCAACACACAGGAAAGGGAAGGCCAGGTCCTGCAGGGAAGGGACAGACAGGCCTGGCGGGGGTAGGGGGTGGGGTGGGGGGTGGGGTGGGTGAGGGGACTGAGACGTATCAGCATGGAGAAAGTGGCCACAGGCACAGTTCCGCACTGGCCTGCTCCAGTGGCCCGCATACCTGATATGGCATACAGATTGGAGAGCTGGTACTCATAGTCTGTACTGGTGTTGTTTCTGCCTCGGAAGGTAGCCGGTAGTGTTAGTGAGATGTGCCTGAGAGAGACAGGAGAGAAAGGTGGTTACAGGAGTGTGCAGTGGCCCCTGGACTCAGAAAGCACATGATGTCATCCATGGTTGACCAGCAGCGGCAGTGGCCAGGGCAGGTGCTTCTGTAGACCTCCATCTCTCAAGGAATCAGCAGCCATTTTCTTCCAGGCAACCTGGCCCAGGCCTCAGTGTGGCATACAATGCATCAGTATGACCAAAACACCCAGGCTCAGAACAGCGGCTTCCACACCCACCACAGCTGGCGAGGATTTTACTATCAGGTCAACTGAGGAGACTAGCAACCTCTGGCAGTGAGCATGGCACCCTGCTTTGAGCCACTGTGTCCTGTGCCCCCTCGGCCAGAGGACTCAGGAGGTTCTCAGGAAAGCCCCTTCCATAAGTCCACAAAGCTGGTAGGAGCCTGTGAGCAGAGAGTGGAAGTGAGCCACACTACTCAACATGCTCATGGCTGCCTCCAGTCAATACTGGCAAGGAGAGCTATTGTGATGGGGTACAGGGCCCAGCAGGTGTGGGCAACCAAGCACCACTAACTTCCTGGAGGGATGCCTAGGGGCTGGCTTGGAATAGCTCAGTCACCCATGCTCGGGCTATCCCCAGCTATTGCTCAAAGCAAAGATGCTGGTGGAGTGATCACGTCAGAATTCCTGTTCACCCCTCAAGGCCTCACCGCCTACCTGAATGCATTCTCTCAGGGCTGAGATGGACTCAACAGCAGGGCCAGATCTCAACTTTGCACCATTTGCTAGGACAGTTTCTATCTCAGAGCAACTATTGACTACTTGTCAACCCAATCAAGTGTTGAACTTAATCCTCTTAGTCCTTCTGCGGTACCAACTGCTGCTGGCTCACTCATCAAACTTCTCTGAAGGGTGTTTTCCAAGTGGACTTGTGGGTCCCATTCTTCTCTGCCATGGAGAGAGGCAGGTGGGCGAAGGAAGAAGGCAGGGGCTGTGGCAGCCACGGCAGCCACAGCAGCCACAGTGGCCAGGAACATACGAGGGGAAAGGAAAGTTTCTGTTCATGTACATGGGGTGACATGAGGGGTATGGGATGTGGAACTAAGAGAGGACAAAGGCAGGCCTAAATCTTTGAGGAAGGAGCCACTCAGCAGACAAGTATTAAACAGAAATCAAGTTTCTACATTGTTTGCACGCACTCCTCTCTCAGGAAGGAAGCAGGGACTTGGGGCTGAGGAGAGATCCCCAGTGCTCAGGTAAGAGGAGCTGAGTCTGGAGTTCCAGTTCCTAGTGTCAGACACAGGGTGCCAGCCTCACGTCCAACGCCTAACTTCTCCACAGATGATAACGTACGGAGGAGGAACAGGCCCCTCCACAGCAAAACCAGTACGAAATTTGGGAATGAGAGACAGCGGATCCCCATGTCTTCTAGAGGTAATGGCAACTATTATTTAAAGCTATGCTGCCTTAGGACTTGGAGAGAGGTCATTCAGGCAGGATGGCAGTGTCCTGGCCATGTTTCTGAAGCCAGCAATGCCACAGACCCAAGATCCCTGCCACACACTAGCACAGCAGCCCCAAGTGACAGCTCATTGTACACAGATGGACAGCTAGCGGCCTGGCCTCTGTGGGTCAAGGCCACTGCCCTCCAGACTTCACTGGATGTGGGATTCAATCTCAGTGCTAGCACTCTGGAGCTGGGTGGCCTCCGAAGGATGTGCCATCTCCCAGCACACAAAGGTTGCTATGTAAGCAGAGCAGGTACCACTCACAGTGAACCCTTTAACTTGGTATGAGGGTTAATCTTGTCAACGTGATGGGACTGGAGATGGGATTTTCCATCTTGATGCACACAAGTCTCTGGACATGCCAGAAAGGCAGCTTCCAGATTAGGTTGAGGTGGGAAGGCTTACCCCAAGTACGAGTGGCACTGTGCCACCGGCTGGGGTCCTTGGTTGAACAAGGAGAAAACAAAGTGTGTGGCAGCGCTTACCTGTGCTTCCTGACTATGGACACAGTGACCAGCCGCCGCCACAGCTGTCCCCACACCTTCGTCACCATGACAGACTCTACCCTCAGAGGTGAGCTCACATCAACCTTCCTTCCTTAAGCTGCCGCCATCCTAACGTCCTGGCTCCTGAGGGCCTGAGGGTAGAGCCAGGGCCAACCCACCAGGACTATCCCCTGCCTTAGATTGCACCTCGCCGGCTGTGAGGCCCTGCCAGCTTAGCCCAGCTCCCACCCTCACATTTGCCAATCCCAGCTTCAGCTTTTTGTGCCCTATCCCTCTGCCCTTCAGACCTGCTCAGGCCTTGCACTTGCTATTTCTCTCTGCCAGGAATACTTTTTTGCAGCTTCCCAGAGGCTGGTTTCTCCGGCCAGGCCGCCTCACAGATGCCTGCCTTGGCGACCGGTGAAGAGATGCCCCCTCCCATGAATTCTTTTCTAATGATGCTCCCCCCTTGCTTCCTGCACAGCCCTCCCTCTGTGGAGAAGAATTTGATCTCCATCACTTCTTCTCCCCTCAAGAGCCCCAGTGCTGAGAACAAAGCCCTGTAAGCTGCACTTGCACACTTCAGGGGAGATCCTGTAAAATTATCTAGGACTTGCTGAATGAATAAATTTGATTTTGACTTGTAATTAGGGATAATTTTGGGACTCTTCCAGCAAGGCTTCCCACTTGCCTCCTTCTCACCCTCAGGACTGGGCTGCTGGTTAATGGTTTGGAAAATACAGCCCCCTCTGACTCAAGGACAGCTTTACATAAGCAGTCAGTACTTTCCTTGTGGCATGGCTTAGAAAGCCGATGACATCAAACAATGGGGGACAGTTGAAGCTCCGGGACAACTGTGTGCTCAAACAGTTCAAGGTCTTTGTACAAATCTTAGGAGACTGCTGGATGGACCAAGCTGGCACCCATGAAAAAGAGGGGACCCAGTCTAGTTTCCACATTGAAACTGGAACCTGCTGGCCCCAGGCACTGGCCAAATTCAGATCATGGCACTGCACTGTGGCAGGGAAGGGAGGGACGGGGCTTCACAGGGCCAGTCCATTTGCTTAGCTCTTGAGCAGCTGTGTCAAAGGCTGCACAGCTTCAAACGCCACCAAGATATTCCAGGAGGTGACCTGGTGCCGTTGTGTAACAGAAACAGCAGGATTACAGGAGTGGGCTCCATGGGCAGACACAGTGGCTGTGGAGACACCCCTAATGACCAGGAAATCTAAGGGGCAAGCTGCCCTCCCCTCGGGAGTCTTGGGGATCATCAGTGAACAACACTGCTACTTGAGTCAGGTAAACACTGCTACTTGAGTCTGTCCACCATCTGGTTGACAGAAAGGCATCGGTGCAGTCTCCAAACCCTAGAGAGCCTTTGCCCAGGTTTCCTTCCTCGGGACCTGCCCTGGGGAGACAAGCTGTACCCGCAGGGCTGGTGCTGGATGCTGCTTCTGGAGCCATTACATCAGTGCAGAGGGGCTGGCGTTCTGTAACAGATGAGCATCACGCTGTGCCAACAACAGATCCAGCTAAATAGATGCTAAGGGAAATTTCATTCTTGCCCCCGAGTCAGTGTGAGGCACCTTATTCAATTAACATGGCCACTAAGCCTCAGACAGCCCTGTACAAAAGCCCTTCAGTTACAGATGACATTTTATTACATGACAGTAGTTGCCAGCACAATTTATTTCCTTTGATTCTGCCTTTTCCTTGCTAATTTAAATCCGTATTTTCTAGTGTTGATTCCAGGTCTGTGTGAATTTTTAAAATGTGACCATCAATCTTGTGGACCCAGTGGTCACAAGGAATGGGGACGGCGCTGCTAGGCAGCAGCGGACCCTATCGTCTCTGCAAACTGCCGAGGGCAGCAGCGGGGACGGGGGTGGGGGTAGGGGTGAGGGGTGGGGTGGGTGGGCAGCAGCTAATGTGCAGCCGGACATGGCTGATGTTGTCATGTCGTGTCCCCTGTACAGGCATGCACAGCTCTCTTTGCTCTGTCACCTTCCGAGGCAGCGGACTCCCATGTGCACTCCAGGGACCAGGGGGTCCTGAAATTCCGGGTGGGGTCCAAGGTAATAACACTTACCACAATATTGAGCTATTTGACTTTCCTTAAATGGGACATTAAAAAGCATAAACCAAGCCATGTGTGGTAGCTTATACCTATAATCCTAGCACATAGGAGGCTGAGGCAGGAGGATCGCTATAAGCTCTAAGCCAGCCTGGGTTATATAATCAATTCTAAGCCAGCTTCATAAACAAAACAAAACAAGAAAACAAAATCCATACTAGCACAAACTATAAAAAATTCAATAAACCGACTTTGAAATCATGCAGCTAAAAACTGAACCGAGGGCTGGGCAGCTAGCTCAACAGTTAAGAGCACACACAGTATGCTCTTGTGAGCACCCACATCAGATGGCTTATAACCATCTACAACTCCAGCTCCAAGGGCCCCAATACCCTCTTCTGGATTCTGCAGGCACCTGCACTTACATGTACATACCACACATAGAAATAATCATACACATAATCACAAAATAATAAAAACAAGTATTTTTAAAATGACAACAAATGCTAGGCCTGGAGAAAATAGGCACAAATCTGACTTTTGCCTTGGGGCATATTCAGAACACTTACTGAAGGGGACTCCCACACAGCGGGGGACTCCCTCCCAGACTCCAGATTAGGCACAAACCACACCCAAACACCTGTTTTCACAGAGAGATCCTTTATTAAGCTGGGAAGAAAAGTTAAAGTGGCTGCTTCCTGACTCTGGCAGAAAAACAGCAGCAAATGATGTTGCAGGTGTCATTCTTAAAGGGAGAAGAAGGGGAGGTCTCTGTTAGGGGGGCTAGGATGCAGTGGTAGAGGAGATGGGGATGAGGGAGAAGGGGAGGGGGGAAGGGAAAGGAGGAGGGTCATCTGTCCAGAGGGACAGAGGACTGGATAGAGAGGAACAGGCATGGCCCTTAGGCAAATGGCGGTTCGTAAAGGGAAAGGGGAAACCCTGTGTTAGGATGAGGTGTTTA